CCCAAAGCCCTAAACCAAAACCCAAAACCCTAAACCCTAAACCCTAAACCCTTAACCCTAAACCCTAAACCCTAAACCCAAAGCCCTAAACCAAAACCCAAAACCCTAAACCCTAAACCCTAAACCCTAAACCAAAACCCTAAACCCTACATCGCCTTTCCAGGGTGCGGGGTCTTCACTTTGCTTACGAGTTCGGGCTTATGGAGGGCCCTGGGGCTTCATGCCTTGAGCCTCTGGAATCTTGAGGGTTTAGGGTTTAGGGTTTGAACCGACATACATGAACCCTAAACCCTATAAACCCCCAAAAAACCTCACATCCCAGAAACCCCAGACCCTAAACCCTGACAGAAGTCCAACATACATGAACCCTAAACCCTATAAACCCCTAAACCTCACATCCAAGAAACCCCAAACAATAGACTTTAAAAGCCCTAGACAGAAGTCGTTGGTCGGATTTTACGATGCGGCCCCCAAAATCCTGATCGCTAAACTGCTGAGCCTCAAGCTCTCGCCCCCAAGAAAGGACATTGAGACCTGCCTTCTTCAGCCTTATGCGTGCTCCAGGATGTGATTATGTAAATCTCAGGAGGATGATCCTTACCATCCTAGCAGGTCCAATAGACTTGCTACATCCGAAGCCCAGAACTATACACCTCCACTTACCAAGCCTGAAGGCGTTTCAAGCCTCGCGATCACTGACGAGGTGGGATGGGGGAAGAACAGATCCAATTCGAGGGTGGTGGTTGGGTGTCTATCTGCAGCGACAAGGTTTAGGGTGCCAGCGATTGTCGGGGTTCGCAAAAAGCATGCGCACAACTGGCTCCAGTGGTGCAAGTTATGGCACAAAGTAGCAGCCCGCAAACTGAGCGCTGCAGCAGATGCAAAGTAGTCCCCAAACTGGGGCCACAGGCCTTAGCAGACTATCCTGCGGTTCACGAAAAGCAGCCCGCGGCATCAAGTTTGAAAGTAATCTCTTACCCTGCCGTGGGTTCAGCTGCTGGTCCTCGTTGAGTGACCGTCTTTGTCGCCACAGGAACCCCTTCGGCAAAACCTTCAAAAAAAGCAAACAAACCACTCCGCTGCTCTGAGCATAACACACTGCGGCCTTGTGTTTTATGGCCTTGAAAGGACGGTGTGGCGATCACCGTGGTCTCTGCTACCGACCTCGTCATGGCATTAGGCTAGGGCCTCGAGATTTGCGGGCATGATACCGTGTCAACTTTTGCTTATACCGATTATCGTTCTGGTTCTTGTTCGTTGTCTTGGCAGCTGCACGTGTAAATTCGCACATGTGTGGCCATGCACGTATTCGCATATTCATCTAATTATGAAAGGTTCGTATAATCTGCACATATGTGTGTATACATAATGTCAAGGGCGGTAGTAGTCGTCGCCGTCGTAGCGGGGGTAGTAGAAGTAGTAGTAGTAGTAGTAGTAGTAGTAGTAGTAGTAGTAGTGCTAGTAGTGCTAGTAGCACGAGTAGTACTAGCCGCTGCGGCGTTAATGTAGCCAAGACTGTTTTGTTTGTCCTTTGTTATCGCCGTGTGTTGACACCTCATATGCGCCATACAGCATAGACTGGTTGTTTTCTTCCATCCCGGTGAGGGCTCGGAAGTGGTAATGCCAAGCAAGAACGCCACTAAGAAACCTCGCAAGCATGATGCAAGTATGAGCTGCTCAGCGCTTCGTCTTGTTCTTCCAGCATGGTTCTTGGAGTGCGCCTACTATGTTCCAAAGTAGGTCGATGAAACCAGAACGAAGAGAGGCAATCAAATCACGACATAGTAAGCAGGTCAAGGAGAAGCTGCTCCACCCCAAGCAAAGTATGCATAACAGCTACTCCCAGATGCTTGGGACACCAGCAGGAAGCCCCAACCACGAGAAAACCCCATGAGTAGCTGGCGAAGCTCAGGTCACGAGGATGACAAGTCAGCAGTTATCTCGGCCCCCCGGTTCGGCTTCAGGGGGGTTTCTCGTTTTGGGCGTTGGCATAGCTTGTCTTGAACCTACGGTGCGGTCGAGTTAAAACTGTTATAATTATAAAGCCTGAACTTTTTTCCCCATGAATCAAAGTTCCGTGAATTACTCTACTATTTCTTTTGTTCAGGCTTGGGTTGGGGGTTCAGGATTAGGATGAGCACGGTCGAGTTTAGGCTGTTGGTTGGAGGGCAATCGAAAGGCGAGCAAGCAACTTTGATCTTTTCGAGGCGCCCTAGTCTGACAGAACAACACGAACGCATAGACAGCCCTTATGCTGAAGACGGGAAACCCTGAACCTGTCAAACCTTCAATTTCCATCCCTGAACGTCTGAGCTCTCTTCTCAGGGTTCTCTGCTTAAGCAACGAGTGTGCAGTTTTTTCGGGATGTATGTTGATATATATATATATATACACAAGTCTTATGGAACCCATATAGAACCCACTAAGTGCCCATAAGACCCGAAAGAGCACTATAAAGACCTGAGATGCCCGCATCAAGCGTGTGGAAAGGTTCATGAAGCCTCTCCTAAACGTTCGAAAATGAATAAGAAATTATGTTTGGAGAACCAAGGACCTGAAAACCAGGAACGTTGTCTTCTTCGCCGCTTGGCTTGGAATTTAGAGTTCAGGGTTAAGTCTTTATTGAACTTTATTGGCTTTCTAGGAGTCAAGGGGACGGTTTGGGTTTGTGGAATCAGATTCGTGCTTAGAACATTCTCTGGAAGCTCTTGGTGTTTGCAGGTTCGGTGCGTGATTTAGGGCAGATAGAGGGCTTGTAGGGTTTAGTGTAAGGGGCTTCGGTTGTAGGCAGTAGGGATAATAAGAACTTGCGACTTCTGAGGTCGTCGGTGTTGTGGTTCAGGTGTGTGTGGGGTTTGGGGATTGGGAACCTCTCTGTCTGTCTATCCATCCATAAAACTGATTACGGCCCTGACGCTACTGGCTAGGAACCCGGTGGGGGGAGAGAGATTCTATGAGACGGTAGATCCCTCAATACGCTGCATCTAGAAACCCCATCGCCCATCTCTCTTAATCGACATGAAGACAGAGCTCCGAAGCCTTGTCAACGAAATCCCCTTAGAGTCCCTAAAGAGTTGTATTATACTATGATGTGTCCCCGAAACCCGGTGCTCAATTGTTAAAAGAGTCCCTAGAGTAGCGGCGGAGGTTCCGAGCAGTCTCCAGGCTTTTCGGTGCAATGCCGGGCTTCTGTGCTTCCGACGGTGTAGGGTTTAGGGCGTGGTCACTTACTAGGGTTTGCTGGGCCGTAGTAGGCTCTCGCGTTTCTTGCCTGTGGATGCACGAGTCATCGATGAGGCGGACAGCTTGGAGGCACTTCAGAGAGACCTCGCTCAAGGGTTAGATCGGGATGTTCGGTTCCTCGAACCGTGTCAACTGGGTTTGCTTCCCCGAACCCTTATCCCTAAACCGGAAGAACCAACAGCCCATGGAGTCTGGTCTCGAGAGAGCACAGAACCTCAAAACCTTCGAAAGCCTGCGACCACCCCAGCCCTTGACCCCAATGTTAGTGAAACTTGATGCCTGCACCGCCTGTACCAGGATTCGGTATCGTCGGGCAGACAACCCAAAAGCAATATCGTTCCGTGGCTTAGGGTTAAAACTCCTGAGCAACCAGAAAAGCTTAGAGCCCCGAAGCACCCCTAAACCCTAAAGCGGGCACGTCCTTGCTAAGTAGGAGGCAAAAAAAACCCTAAACCCTAGGGACAGTTTGCTCAGGTAGGGGACAGCCGCAAGCCCGACCGGGCTTTTAGCCACACTCGGGCGTCTCGGACTCGCTTTATACAGTCCGGGTTAAGGGTTCAGTATTGCTATCATGGGTTTAGAGTTTAGAGTTTGGGAGTTTAGGAATTGGGGGTTTAGATTCGAGGGTTTCTATAGGGGTCTCGGGTGTAGGGTTTTCAATTACGTTTGCGGCTTGACGTCTACTGAAAGGATGAGGAGCTCAGCAAATAGTGCCGCAATGGGTAATAGTTAGGGTAAGTGATTACTTTAACTTCACTGTCAAAGTTCAGGGTCTTGTGTAGGCCCGTCTTGCATCAGTTCCCAAAAACCCATGTGAGTGCTGAAGAAACCCTGATCGATAGATTCTGGCTTATTTCTTTGAACTTCCCTAGAACCTCCATAAACCCTTATTCCCCGGCTTCGCCTGCACTGTATGCATAAAAAGGAGCTGATTCGGTTCTTTACGGTTCGGCTTTATTTGGTGTTAAACCCTTTGGATTGCTGTGGGCTATCAGTCCGGTCGAGATCTGACAAGGCCGTTGCAAACAAGGGTTAGGGTTTAGGTTTAGGGTTACAAGCGTATAAGGGAGGTAGATAGCAGGACATTGCCACAGGTGTTGGCAGAGTCTGGGTACTTTAGGGTACTTCCGGAGTGAGCATGTTGGGGTTTGAGTCTTGAGTTGTAGGGGGGGGTTTGGGGTTCAGCATCAGGCCATACTACGGCTGATGATAGAAGTCCTGCATTACCCATATGAAGGAATATGCCATAATTCCCATAGTTTAGGGTCTTTAAGGTAATGCAGGATTTATATCATCAACAGTAGGGTTTGAAGTTGAGGGCTTGAATGAAGGGTGTTGGGGCGGAGGTGTGGTAGAGTTTTGATGGTAGGGTTCGTCCTGAGTCTGAAATCAAGCGGGCTCCTTCGGAATGCGGCACGTGTATGTCAATCTATGTTTGGGGTTTTCACGCAGCGTTTTCGGTGCACACGCAAACTCTAAATCCAATGCCCGAGACCTGTGAGGCTCCGATCATATCCGTGTCCGTAGAGACGCCGCTGACTCAGGTCATCGTGGCTCGGCACGCACAGTCTTTTTCATTTGCCTGGCCACTCGTGGTTTCAAGATTCTCTGGCACTCAAGGAACATACCGTGCAAGTTTGTCGAGGTAGCTTGACACTTACTGTGTCTCGAGTCGCTCATTTGGTCGGATCTCAGAGATAGCGCAGAGGAACAAATCTTCTACGAAACCGTAAGCCGATAAGCGTCACCTTGGACCCTTGCCTGAAGCCCTATACCCGACTCATGCAGTTCGCCCGGATCCTGGGTTCCTGAACTGTCAGGAGAAATTTGCGACGACCCGCGTCCACCGGATGTTGGTAATGGAGAAGGAGCCCTGGCGTTGTGAGAAGTTTTGCTATATTTCAATACTGAAATTAAAACTTCAAGGGTAGTATTATGGTGACCCCTTTAAGGGGACCCTTCTTAACCCTACTTATGGCTTTATTTCTTATCAGGGACCCTAATCAAGACTTCAAGGGTAGTATTACGGGGACCCCTTAAAGGGGACCCTTCTTAACCCTACTTATGGCTTTCTCAGCAGGGACCCTTTATGGGGGGTCCAAGGGTCCCGCTAAACCTCACTCCCACAACTGACACTGTCTTCGGGCCCTTGAGCAGTAGTAGCATAGTACCGAAGCTGAATCACAAGGCCCGTCTGTCAGAGGCAGTGAGCTGTTGCATCTCTTGGGTTTAGGAGGGTTTGCGATGGATGGGGTTTGCGAGGTTTCTGGTGCACCAGAAACCTCCCAGGTTTAGGGAGAGAGAGGCTTGACCAAGCTTGTGGTTTTCGGTGTGTATGGGTCCCGGATGTCTTTTCTCCCAGCGAGGCTCTTGCGGGCTGGATGCAGGTGTAGAAAAATCCCGGTAGTTTGCGGGTTTTGGCCTTGCGGGGTCTGGCTTAAGGAATGTGCAAAAAGCTTCAAGGTCTGGGTGCGCCGGCTGAGGGGCTTAGGCTTTGGCAAAGGTTTGTCCGGGCGGTTGGGAGCAACTGCCTTTTCCTATGATGGTTTTTGGGTGAATTTGCACACAGGGGCGAATAAAGCGGTCCAGAACTTACTTTCATTGCCTGTCGCTGGTTGAGGTCACGACTTCAGTGTCTATAGGGCTTACTAGGGAGTCGCTAGCTTGACTTATGGGGCAGGGTATTTGGTCAAAAGAATAAGTGCCATTGTCGGTTTTCCAGAAGGAGTCGCTTCTTCCAGACCAGCATGAAACCAAAAGGGGTGGGATTTTATGGGCGTTATGTTGGGCTTCAAGGCAAATTGAATGGATGTTTGTCCGGAGGCTTGTGTAGCTTCTCGCAGCTTAGTTCGACTGCATGGGGAGACCTGTCATCGCTGAGGCATTGACCAGCATATTTCACTCCATTCACAAACCAGCGGCAGTGTTACTAGGACGTGAAGCAGCCAGATCAGAGGCCCCCACGGCTTTAAGCCCCGGAGCCCTTATGGATCCAAGCAAGATTACATTAGAAGATTGCCACAACGATCATCCAAGTATGAAGGCCGTCAAGCAATCGGCCTTTGCATGTGGCCACTGGCCACTGCTGAGGACAGCCGACGTCCCGTTGGTGTCGTTGCCTTGTCCGACATATGCTGCTCAACTGAATGCACTGTGGCACTTTCAGGACTACAGATGTTGTCAAGGTTAGGTCATACTTAAGGCTTAAGTATAGAAGTTAAGGAGGGTGTTCGAGCATTATAGAGTTTTAGACTGCTAGATCTGTGTCGCAGCTTACGAATCGCGGGAAGTTACTGTGCCCCTCACATAAACGTCAATGTGAGACAGGTGCTATGATGCACAGCTTCGGGTTCAGGCTGGGTTTATTTGGAGAGATTGAGTTTGAGTTCTTCCTCCTTCTCCGCCTCTTCCTTTGGTGTTGTGTACCAGCCGAACAAAAGAATCAGCAGCCTCCGCCACAATNNATTGTGGCGGAGGCTGCTGATTCTTTGCTGTCTAACTAAGTACTCTACTATTTTGGGTTGTCACACCATTTGAAGGGGTTTAGGGTTTAGGGTTTAGGGAGAGCTAAAGGGTGCGTGCGCTGGACATGAGCATGATCTTTGGACAAAGGCGCATCAACAGTCAGAGTTGTTGGTACTGGCTAGCCCCAATGTCTTCACATACATACATACATATACATACATATACATACATACATACATACATACATACATACATACATACATACATACATACATATAGAGAGAGAGAGAGAGACCTAAACGTATTTTTGAAATAGGTGGGCATGTAGGTAGGTATGTAGGTATGTATGTATGTGCGCATGCATGCTTGGTGTACACGTGTGTGTGTGTGTGTGTGCATGTCTGTCCGTCTGTCCGTCTGTCCGTCCGTCCGTCCGTCCGTCCGTCCGTCCGTCCGTCCGTCTGTCTGTCTGTCTGTCTGAAGCTAGGATGGTATCATTGAGGGTGATACCTGCGGTGAACTTGAGATGGAATGAGGTCGGGCCTTTTCTGCCGCAGCTCAAGAGCCACCCGCCCTCGAGTAGGATGGCTCCCAAGAGAAGATTACTTTAGGCTTTAGGGTCTCAGGGTTTAGAGTCTGGTATTTGGGGTGTTGGGGTTTGAGTTTGGGTTTTAGAGTTTCAGGGTTTCGGGGTTTGGGGTTCCGGGTTTCCGGGTTTGGGGTTTAGGGCTTCAGGGTTTAGGCTTTCCAGCCAAGGAAAGGTTAGGTTAGAGCATGGGACAAAAGATACAACTTCAGGTTTCGAGTCTCTGGAGAAGTTCAGGGCCCCCCACCCCAGGTACCACAGACACGGTTTAGGGTTGAGGGCGTAGGAGCCCAATAGGTAAACCTTAAACTTTTTGGTATATGAAACCCCCTACTAAAAGACAAGTTTACACTTTTTTCGGCCAGGGTATTGGGCTTAAAGGAGGGCACCTTAAACTTAGCACTGCATCCTGAACGGAGACCTCCCAGTCGAACTGGTGGGTGCTAGGGCCAAAACCCTGAACCCTGAACCTAAAACCCTAACCCTCCAGGTACGTACTATGTAGGGCCTTAGGGGCTCTAGTTCCCCATATAGGAGGTACCTGGGGGGTTAGGGAGAACCCTAAACCACTCAGTTACGCCTACCTCGCACCGCACTTAGATGCCTCGCCCGGATTGCCCAAGCTGTGACAGCTTGGGCAATCCGGGCGAGGCAACTGTGAGAGTCGAAGGACCAAAACCCTAAACCCTATAGGCACAGTAGGACTAAGTAGGAGGCAGAAAGACCTATGCCGCGGTAAACCTTAACCCCAAACCCTAAATAGTAAAGAATAGCTTGGCCTCGCACTCGGCGCGAATTCTCTGGGAAGCCCGGGACACATCCCTTTCGTACATCCCCAACGCGGGACTCCCGGTGGCGCTTGCCCGCTGAGGATTGCGAGTACGGTTCCCTTATATGGATCATTCTCTAAAGTAGGGTCCTTTTTGGTGTCCTCTTTATAAGGGTGCCGTACTATATTGCAACAAGGGACCCTAATTTAGAGAACTACCCATACCGGTCTGATCTAGGTGCGCAGGGGGTGCATTTAAAGTTTCTATGTAAGAGAAGAGGGATGGGCTTTGAGAGGACTCTTGTGATGAGTGCTGGTTCTCATTCTGCCCAATGCCTGTAGCCGTTTTGTTCTTCGTCGCTTGGCTTTCCAGTTTCGAAGTCCCTACTAGACCCTTCTGCATTTTTTTTCAAAAAAGCGGGCACTCTGGATGTCACCTTCGTGAGATCCTCACGTTTACGGGGCCCTCCCTTGAGCATAGCAGCATAGCATTGGACCTGGCCAGGGCAGGGTCCTTCTGTGGTATTCAATATGAATCGTGACAAGTGAGTCTGTCGGCTTTTAGGACTTGAGGGGGTAGGGTGCACAAACTGAGGTCTTCAGTTTTGGAGGGTGCTTTGGCATGCGCTGCCGTGGCCTTTTGGGCATAAGGCTCAGATGGTGACTCCCGTCTTTGCCCCAGCCGGTGCCATCCTTGCCATTGGTGGCCATTGTTATGGTGCCTGTACAGTGCAGATTGCGCTTGGGACGGTTCTTCGCTTCGGTCGTTACGTGTGCATATGCACAAGCGTAGCTTGCGAGCGCAAGCTCATGAATGTGTCTGACAGGTGGCAATGCCTGATTCCGACATAAATAGCTGAAGCCACGTCCTACAGGAGTTGAGTTATAATGCCTTTAATTTATGGTTTAGGTCCCAGTCTCTGGATGGCTGTAGGACAGCAAGAACCGTTCCGGAACCTCGCTTTGGCAACATACAGGGACAGATGCACCGGCTCCTATGATTTCAAGTGTCCAAGGACCAATCCAGTCTCGGCCCTTAGAGTCTGAGAGTACTTGTCTAACTGGCCTCCAGAACTCAGGCCCTAACGTAAACCCGTCATGAGAAATAAACTCTTCTACCTGAACGGGACTACAATAATCAATAGGGATCCCCTTTTGATAAGGGTATTCATTCTTCAGGGGTCTACATGACAGAACGATCACGAACTAGTTAGAGCTGAACCCGCAACACGAACATTCTTTCACGAGGGGCATTTCCCTGACATGTTCGGGTCGTCTGCCCTGTTCAGCATGCTTACTTTTGGGGCACAAGCCGGGGGTTGGTTCAGGGGTAAAAGCTGTACAGCTTTAGCTTTCATCGCTTCGGGGCTCCTAAAGGCTTGAGACTCAGCCGGTTGGCGGTTTGACAGCCCGGAAACTGGAGGCAGGTATTAGCCTGACTCTGGGACGTAGCCCTAAGCTTTCCAACCGCTGCGCCAACTGCTACGATTGTCCTTGGACGAAGATAATTCAGAGGCAGCTTCACAGAGCCGGGCTCGTAGTTTCAGTCTTCAGAGGGATCTTTGGGGCTTGAGGGATTCTAGCTAGCGTTTTCCGTTTTCCTTATCCCCCCGGAACTGCCCTCCGATATCGCTTCGCTACCCGCTATATGAGGGACTATCAGGACTCTGTGAATGGGTACTGCGGTCCTAGTGGGATCTACTATAGCTAGGGCAGGTTCATAAGTGCTGAACGGCTTTACTGTAGCTTTTAATAGCCCAAGTCCATGCAGGTATTGTCCATACTGGCCTGGCCCGGTGCCATCAGACTCCTTAAGCATGAACATGTAGCAGTATAGAACTTATCCAGGCAAATTGTCCCAAGGTCCTGAAACCTATGGTGGTGTTCGTGAACACCACGTGGAAACGATGCACCATGCTCAACCGTAGTTAGGCCCTAGATTTGGCCCTAGATACTGGTTTTCTACATGTGGTGTGTTTTCAGAATTTGGCGCTTAGTAGTTCTGGGTCTGTATAGGTTCGGGGGCTTGAAGCCAGTACCGTGGTCGAATTTGAATTTGCAAGCTTGACGTCGTTTTTGGTGCTGGGTTTGTAGAGGTGGAGGCCAGTCATTTGGAGTCCTGCTCTGGTCATCTTTGGGAACAGCTAGCACTTACAGTTCGGGACCGTCCTTGCCAATGAGCTATGTTTGTCGTGAAGATGACATGTCAGGTTGACTTGGCGGGTTGAGCTAGATGAGGGATTGTTATTTTTGTGTTCCGTCCTCAGTCGAGTTGCTGGGCCCTTGAAAAACATGCCTCCCATTCTGAAAGCGCCACCGAGTGCCACATGGGCCAAGAGGATTGCGTGGCTGACGCGGACAAAACAAGTTTAGCTAATTAGAGCCGGCGCCTATAGACTTTGGGGTTTCAAGATCGAGTGTCGATGATCCCTGACTGCCACCCCCTAGCGTGCTCCCTATGGGTCTACTCTGCTTGGTGGAGCGCGGTCAGTCGCCGGCTTGTGTCGTGATACCGACAGCCTGCCCTGTCGGCGTAAAGTAGCTAGTCCCAAATATCTCCTGGATTAGGAGTACTCCGTCGATTAAGGATCCTTAGCTATAGTTCCGCACTCCTTTCTAGGCCCCTTGTCATATGGCACTGACAGCTGTGTTTGGACCTATGGGTTGGGAATGCCTTAGGATCCTTTTCAGGGTTACTATAGTAGGCGTGCATTAGGATTCCTTTGTAGGATCACAAACATGATGAATATTGGAGTGTTTGGGGTCTGGGTTCACTAATTTTCAGTTGTATACATTTCAATGAAAAACACAGTGATGTGCACATGCATCACTCGCAGTACAAGTAAGAAGAGATTGCGGCCTCCGGGTACTGTATGTTTGGCCCGAAGTCCTGAGCTAAGCTCCACCTCTCAGGTATCTCAAGGCACTTTAGACTTTAGATCACAAGGATTCTGACTGGTCACATGAACCTCCGGACTCCACTTGCCACAATGCTAGCAAACCAGGCGTCATCCTAAACCCTAAAGCCCTAACCCTGAAACCCTGGACCTAAGCCCTAACGCCATCCTGGTAAACACCTTAAACTCTAAAACCCTAATCCCTAAACCAAAAGTGTGGGGTGAGCATTTCGCGCACTGCAGGCTTCGAGACCCAACGGCTGGCGAGGTCCCAACAACGTCCGCGAGCAACTCAGCAAAGGGTTTGGGGTTTAGCGGGAATAGGGATTGGACGGTGGAGGTTTAGGGTTCCAGGAGTTTATGGTTTAGGGTTTAGGGTTTAGGGTTTAGGGTTTAGGGTCTAAATGACAGTCTACTTCGCGAAGTATGTAGGTATGTTGAAGGCTGCAGATCTCGAGGGGGCTGCTACTCCGTTACCTTGATCCAGTACTTGCAAGGGTGGAGGAGGGATCAAGGCTTCTGGTCGCAACTGAGGGTGTTTCGGGGCTGTGACGGCTTGGGACTTCGACCATACACATAGACCTCTATGCAGACTTTACCCGAACCTGTTGAAGATTCATGTGCGGTTGCTCAAGTACAGCAAGACACACACCCCAAAATATCCAAAACTTGTGTTTCTGACATGGTCTATGGAAGGACAGCCGTTTGTTCTCGGAGCCTTTCCGTGGGCACTTTAACGCTTTTCTCGACTACATGCATGGAAGCCCTATAGACCCCAAAAAACCCACTTCGAAGTATGTCTGAGTGAAGCGTAGTTGTGAGCTCGCCTGGTGAAAAGGCTCTTGCGCTGGTCAATGCGATTGGATGTGTGCAGACACCTTCGGCAACTCAGTGTCATTAACCTATGCTACAAGACCAACAGCGCTGAGTAGAATTGTAGTTGCCTGCGGTATGGACTCCCAAAGAACCTGGCTTGTGGGCATTGCTCCCGGCCATGCGAGAGGGAACAAACCGGTCAGGTCAATTGGTGGGAGGTGAGACGGCACAGCAGTGCTTGCTTAACTCCTCCATAGGTCCTACACTCTACCAGTAGGTGGGCAGCAGACCTCCATAGCTGTTAACCGTACTCTAACCATGACCCCTAAACCCTAAACCCTAAACCCTAAACCCTAACCTTGTGTTTGCGCAGGCCGTGCGGTCTTTGGCAGCACGGATGGCTTCTCTGTTGGTCTGAGCTCGGAGCTCGTTGCGCTCCAGGGCTCAGGGGACACGAATGGATGGCAGTGTTGTGTAGCCCAAAGGGTCCAAGTACTAATATGGTAGCTACTTTGTAGGTATTTGGGACCCCAAAGTATATACTATACTATAACTTGGACCCTTTGGGTAGGAATGCCGGGTGCAAGGTGAAGGGTTTATGCGCTCAGCCTGCACCTACAGATAGGTTTTTCGGGAGCAGCGTCCTGTCTCAACACAGCACAAGCCCTCATATCCAGCTACCTAGAGCATCTTAAACTGTACGGTATAAGGACACTAACCCCTCACAGGGTGAATTGGGAGTCCGGCGAATGTTGGTATCTGGTTCGTGGGATTTCGGGGACTCGTGACCTGCCGGTTGAGAGTCCACGGGTGCAGTTACTCAGGGTTTGGATACAAAATTGGCCAAGCAACACACCGTCCGCGCCTTTGTGCGCGCGCGCCTTTGTGACGTTCAGAATGAGACGGACCGAGATGCTGTTACGCTCGGAAGGTTCGGTTTGCAGCGGGCACCGGATCCACCTTCGGAGGTGTCTCTGGTTTTTTGCTCGCTGTGGTAGGCGATCGCGATCCGGTCGTCCGGATGCTTGCGGTGAGCGGTCCCGTAACGAGCTGGTCCATGCTGCTTCAGAAGGTTTAGTGAACCTGAAGAGGCAAGAGCTTGTTGGATAGGTGCCCCAAAGGGTCCAAGTACTAATATGGTAGCTACTTTGTAGGTATTTGGGGCCCCAAAGTGTATACTATACTATAACTTGGACCCTTCGGGTGCCTGGCACTGATGAGTGGTGGAACATCCAAAGCTGGCTGAGGTGGACCAGCTTGTTGACCTTTCGAGGTTTCCTGTGGCGTACCTCGCAGCTGCATTGGAGGAAGAGCCGAGCTTTAGCTTGCTGCAAGGAAGGCTGCTCGACTTGAGCTTGGTAAGTGGTGGGTTTAGGGCTTAGGGCTTTGGGTTTAGGGTTGGGGCTAACCGTTTGTGTGGGAATCTTGCGACAGCACCGGGTACTTTATCTAGGGCTAGGCGTGCTGTGTCTGGATTTTGCTCGGACGAGATGACTGCTGAGATAGAGTTGATTGTTGGTAGATCCTGTTTGACCTGCCTCAGCGGGGATCCCGGATGGATTATTATGTTTTCGTTTGGTAGCTCGGGATTCCCTTGAGGGGTTTCACTTCGGAGCCCAGCGTAGGAACCGCATCTCCCGGTGTGAGTCTAGGTACCGCAACGTTTTGGGTGACGCTATCATTAGATTAGTCTTGCTGCCAGACTTTGCAGGGACCCTGTGGCGAACACCTGTATCTACCTTTGAGATCCTTTGATCACTGAATCTTCGATGGTTATTCCCTGACCTGTTCCAGTCGTGGACAGAGGGCCGTGTGCCTGCATCACGCCGACTCAAATGTATGGAGCCTCACCTGGCTTGTCCGAGTTGTGAGAGCGTAAACCCTCAAGCCTGCATAGACCCAAAGTACATACACCCGAAAATCCTAAAACCCCCCAAGTCGGACTCGAGACCATGACCGTCTACACCCTAACTGCTGTACAGCCTATACATCCCTATCAAGGTCTGGAGTCTATGTTACCGAACCCTACAAAGTCCGTAGTACCCCATTCCCAACATGGATTAAATACATACTTCTTGACCTTACATAACCTGAATCCTGAAATCGCCAAGCCCTGGAAGCCCTAAATGGGCCTTTAACCCTAAACCTAAAGCCCTAAAGCCAAAGCTCTAAACCCTAAATCCCCAAACCCTTTACCCCGAATCCTAAATCCCCAAATCCTGGAATCTCTAAACCCTACACCCCTAAACCCTGAATCCCCAAACCCTTTACACCAAATCCTGGAAGCTCTAAACCCTACACCTTTAAACCCCAAATCCTCAAACCCTTTACCCCAAATCCTAAATCCCCAAATCCTGGAAGCTCTAAACCCTACACCTCTAAGCCCTAAATCCTCAAACCCTTTACCCCAAATCCCAAACCCTAAAACCTAAACCCTAAACCCTCACCCTTTTTCGCAAAAAAATCCTAAACCCCCAAATCCTGGAAGCTCTAAGCCAGACTCCACAGTGCCAGACCTCAGGCGCAGCCCATGAGCCCGTGCCTTCGCGAACGCTGAAGGCGGCTTTCCGTGCCCGACTCAGGCCATAGGCTCTTTAGGGTTTAGGGTTTAGGGTTTAGGGTTTAGGGTTTAGGGTTTAGGGTTCAAGGGCTCCTGTTCAGGCTTGAAGCCTTCGGGCTAAAGGGGATTCAGAGACTCCAATACCCCTGAATTAAGGAATATACCTTAAACCATATTAGGGATCCTACTATGTTTTAAGGTATATTCCTTAATTAAGGGATATTGGAGTCTCTGGATAGGCTCCTTCAAGGGCTCCTGTTCAGGGCCGTTCAGATTGGTTGGTTGGTTTAGGGCCATTTAGGTTTAGGGTTTTAGGGTGGTTTGGGGTTTAGGGTTTAGGTTTCCTCTTTCAACATGTGCTTTTTGTGGGATGGGGCCTGAGAGTGCCATGCTACAAAACCCTAGTCTAATTTCGAGAGTGCCTACACTACGGCTCTGTGTAGGCTTCGTCTCAGGCCTTTATTGCTGGTGCTCTACCAAAAGAGGCGTCGGCCTTCCTGCGCTGGGCCTCTCTAAGCCTTCCTTTTAGTCTCGTTTTTGTTTTTTTCTTAGAAGGATTTGGGTTTTTAGAAGAAGGCCTTCTAGAATTTAGGGATTAGCCATTTACATGTTCCCTTTTATCGGAACTTCACGGTTTCCTTTGAAATTTCAGGGTGGGGGTATGCATGATTCAGGATGATAGGCTTCTTTTGCTCCCTTGAAGGAGGTTTTGAGTTATTGGCTCCTAAGTTGCTATGGGTTTGAGGATGAGTTTGGGGTTCGTTGTTGAGTTTGGGATGCTACTCATGTCCCGCAATCCGAGGATCCTGTATTCTACGCGAACTTTCAATCTTAAGTGCAGCATGGCCCTCTGCGCTAGAAGCATGTTAGAGCTACGCAGGGCCCCAGCTTCATGCAAAGGTATGGTGAGGGACGGCAGCACTTCCTGCTGAGGTGAAATCGACCGGGACCAAGATGGGCTCGTCACGGCCTCAGCTTTGCCTACTGCAGTTTAGGGTACTGTGGGCTTGATTAATGGCCAATGATATAGTCTTCCTAAATAAAGAAAAACCACCCAAAAACCTTGTTCTGAATAGTCAGGCCCCTGTATTATGGGTTCCTTCTCGAGTATTGGCGTCAGGATACCGCCTGCGGTTTGGCCAAAACAGCTGCTAGACCCATGCAGGTGAGCGCTCCGGAGATTGTCCGAGCTCTGCGCCGCTGTGGCCAGCTCCTTACGAGCTGCCCACCTTTGGGCCAGAAGGCGATTCTGTATTGATCTGCTTAAACAGTTAGAACCTGCGTGCAAAACCAAGCATCGGGAGCTCTAAAACAGGATCTGCCCTGCAAGCCTTTCCACACTCGGATTCTGATAGTATACAACTTGTAATTTCATAGTATATGTGGGTTCTGAGTAAATGCCTTGCTCTGTAAACAGAAGAACTTTACGCTCTTGGGTTGTGCTGTGACTTCATGTAGCTTCTCGTCGAAGAGAGCGGCATATAAAATGTTGAGGATTCTTGGGGATTCTTTACAGGGCAGGGTCGGTGAGTGTATATGCGGAGTGCCGATATGGTCTTGCCTGCAACAAACCCAGCACCTGAAAAGAATCATATTTCAACCCGTTACATCTTAGATCCAAGCTATCTAACATTTTGCGGACCATATTCTTCGAAATCCTGGAGCTGAAGCCCTGCATCCAAGTGACAGAACAAGGACAGTCTGGAGTGCTGTGTCGGGTCAGTGGGCTCACCGGGACCGCCGGCAATCACTTTTGAAAGAGGCCTTGTGCTCTTAGTGCTTTTCATTGTCATTGTTTGTGGTAGTGCAACGTATAGTGGTGGGCCATGGGTGGCTCGGGAGTTCTGGTCCGAACTTATAGGGTTACCCGTTCGAAGTTTCGTGGGTGTGAGGGATTGGGAGCCCACGCCACCCAAGGGTTCTGGTCCCCTCCCTTAAGAACCCAAAACCCACTTTTTTGTAGGTTCGTATGATAAACCCCAATATGGGATTTATAGGGACCCTACAAACAAGTAGGTTTTGGGTTCTTAAGGTCGACCCTAAACCGGCAAGGGTTTGCGGCCACGCTGCCTCCAGAGACATCGCTGCCAGCTGAGGTGTGAATGCCTCACGAAGGAACGTCGAGCGCAGCGTGGCTGCAACCCAGACTTTTGTAGTGTGCGGTTGCCGTAACAGTCCTGTTTTCGAAGAAGCACCACCCGCCAAGCACTCCCGCAAAGAACAAGCAACTTCCCATACAATCCTGTAGCCCCGAACCCTCAACCAGCTGCCGTGTTCCTCATTCCCTGAGCTCCGTCAGCAGCACGACGTGAATCTCACTCCGTTATCCGTTTCTTAAGATATATAGTATAATATTTATATAGTTCTTAAGATATATAGTATAATACTTATATAGTTCTTAAGATATGCAGTATAATTTTGATATAGTCTTAAACAGATGATTCGTCCCTCTGCTTCATGGACAGAGCTCTACTCCGAGGCATCATGCAAGAGTGCGGCTACGACAGCACCGGCTCCGTCCTCAGCAAAGGGGTGGGGACTCCGGGGCCCGAGGGTTTCGGTGATTCGAAGTGAGCCTACATGCGGCCTGGGTTTAGGGTTTAGGGTTTCGGGTTTAGGGTTTAGGGTCTACCTTCACCTGCCATAACCGATTCTTGATAGGGGTCGGGTTTAGGGCTTACTGTAGGGTTTTACTCAGGTAGGGCTGTAGTCTGCGAGTGTGTGTGTGTGTGTGTTGCCCGGTCTCCCAGAAGCCTACTAAGCCCAGAAGCCCCAACTCCTAAACCGCCAAGTTTTTTTGGGGCTTGGGCCGAAGTTCGTAAGTTCCGAAGAGATGTAAATCCATACCGTGACTACCAGAGCACTCGCAAACCCCACGGATTGTCGAAAAGTCAAGAGAGCCGGTGTTTGTAGCTGATGCTCCCGGCATTCGCACAGTTCTGCTGCAGATGCGTCTGCCGCTTGTGAGCTATGCCCGCAGCAGTGGTATCAAAGACCTAGGTCATTGAAGCATGCGATGCAGTCTGCATGAAGCAGAGGTCAAAGCCCTGGCCCCACGCACCAAGGAGCTTCAAGAAAGATGTGATCCCTAAACTTTCCTAAACCCTACACTCCCAAACCCTAAAAAGCCTAAGCCAGAGTGCAGCCCTGCTTCCAATCAGCCCAGCACCTGATAAGAATGACCCCGGCATGTGAAGCCTTCGTTTCCCGAGGATTGATTTCGGTGGACCAGTTCATCAGCTTCTTCCGGTGCCTGGAAGCTGTTTACAGTAGCTACCAGAAGCCGGGGCTTGGGGTTTAGGTTGTTGTTGTGCCCTTGCCTGTCTTGTCGTGTGAGGCAGTGCCGATCGCAGGATCGAAGCCTAGGAACGCAAACCTCACCAACTGAATCCCAGAAAACCCTACCCCTAATCCCCGACAACAGTTTCAGGCCGGAAGTTCGACCCGGAATGAATGGAAGCCCCTTCGTAGTTAGAATAGGGTTCTGGGGTATATTTTTCTATAATTATGATAAGGAACCCCCTGCTCCTCTTCCAGAACCTCTTCAAAAGTGTGGGGAGGGTGCAGAAACTTCCCTTCCGCCCCCACAGCTCTTGTGGCAGGGCGACAGAGAGACTGTCGCGGACGCTGCGCGACGACTACGATCCCGCCGGGGGTGTCAGTCTGCTCGTATGGTCATAATTTGGAGGAATTTCCAGAAATTTGAAAGCAAACTATTTTTCTTCTGGGCAGAAGATGTAGCAACCAGCCATTGATCGAGTCGTTTGGTTTGCTTTGCTGGTTTTCTGTGATCACCCTTCTTTACGTGGTTCGTTTGGCCAGGGCGCGTTCTGAGCAAATCGAGAATTCTGAGAACAGTATGTCGACGCCCCCCCCAAATCCCATAGGGATTGCCATAGGGCCTTTTTGCAGGTCAAGTACTGGTTATTAATTGTTATTCGTAAAATTCATCGTATTGTTCACATTGTTATCAGGATGATCATGATGATGATGGTGATGATTATCGCCATGACTTCTCACTTAACCATATTACTACCACTGCTGCTATGTTCTTACAATGTCTAGTCATTTAATTGTTTGTCATGGGTCTTAGTTAAATGCTTATTACACGATATCACTTCTAACAGAAATTATTGCTTGTATAAGTCTTACTACTACTTGTTGTTGACTGGTCTCAAGTAACTTCGTGTTTGTTCTGACTTATTGTAACAGCTATATTTGAATACGCTTGAAAAAGATTTTATCGTTGCAGGTTAAACCTACCATGCAAACAGACCAATATATGAAACCTATACCGCGGTCTGAAAGTTAAGGCTTTCGTGGAGCTTAGTACAATGTAACATGATGTTCCATATACTATTTCATTATTACGGTATTGTACTGTGCCCCAAACCCGATTCTAAGCGTTCTCGGCCCTATGTTAAAACCGAAACCTTGAATGATGCTACATGAAACAGAAAAAACCCAAAGCCGCTGCTCCGGCAGGTATCTGCTTGCTGCACCTGCTGCATGAGGCCTCAACCCCGACAGCTCCGACAGTTCAGCATCAATGGTCTCTAGGTTTAGGGGGAATTTCAGAAAGTTGTCTCGTACCAAGTTGTGCCTGAAGCTTGGAGCCGCGAAGTGGCCGGTCTCGCATCTCAGTCATGAGTACTGTC